TTGAACCCGGGAAGCAGAGGTTGCAGTGAGCTGAGATTGCACCACTGTACTCCAGCCTGGGCAACAAAGCAAGACTCCGTAAGGAAAAAAAAAAATACCCAGTAAAGAGATGGGGAAAGTCTATAAAAGTATTCTTTTATTTGAGACAGGATCTCACTCAGTTGCTCAGGCTGCAGTGCAGTGACACAATTGTAGTTCATGGTAGCCTTGAATTCCTGGGCTGAAGCGATGCTCCCACGTCAGCCTCCCAAGTGTCTAGGACATCATGCCCAGCTAATTTTTAAAATTGTTTTGTAGAGATGGGGTCTCACTATGTTGCCTAAGCTCCTAACCTCAAGTGATCCTGCCTCAGCTCCCCCAAAGTGTTGGGATTACAGATGTGAGCCACTGCACCTGACCTCTTTATTTAATTTTTAATTGAATTAAAACATATATTCAGTAAGGGTACCAATTTTAAGAGTTTCACTTAATGATCAGTCAGGTGGCTTCTTAAAATTGCTATATATTATTCCATTGTATAAGTATATGACAATTTTTTTCATTTTACTGTTGAATCACTTACAGTTTTGATCTTTTATGAGTATAGCTGCTGTGGATATTTTTGCACATCCTTGTCAGACATAAGCACGCATTTCTCGTGGAGTGAGATTGCTGTGTTATAGGGTAGGCATATGTTTAGTCTCCAGCTGATACTGCTAAAAAAAAAAAAAAAAAAAAAAAACAAGCCGGGCATGGTGGCGGGCGCCTGTAGTCCCAGCTACTCGGGAGGCTGAGGCAGGAGAATGGCGTGAACCTGGGAGGCAGAGCTTGCAGTGAGCCAAGATTGTGCGACTGCACTCCAGTCTGGGCGACAGAGCAAGACTCCATCTCACAAAAAAAAAAAACAATTTCAACAGTATAGGAGACAATACCCCAGTTTTTCTACATCCTCACCAATCCTTGGTATTATCCATATTTTTAATTATGAATAGTATGGATATGTATAAAGTTATCTCATGATTTTATTGATGATGATGATTTATTGCTGGTTGTTCCTGATGATTAATGATTTTCAGTATTCTTTGCCTGTGCTTATTGCTTTGACTCTCTTGTTCAGTGCGATGTCTGTTCAAATCTTTTTACATTTTTCTATTGGTTTTATTCTTGATCTGAAGGAAGTTTTATGTATTTGAGAAATAACTCTAATCAGTTATATCTATTGCAGATGTCTTCACTGAGTTTGTTTTCCCTTTTCCCCTCAAAAAATGGTGTTTTTTGATGGATAAAATTTTTTAAGTCCTTACCAGTCCTTTCTTTTAAGGTAGAGCTTTTAGTGACCCATTGAAATTTTTCCTATCCTTAGGTCATAAGGGACTTCTAGGAGCTTTATTATTTTGCCTTTCACATTTAGATCTGATCCACCTTGATCTAATTTTTGCATGTAATGAGAGATTTTTTAATATGCAGATATATAATTGATCCAGCATCATTTATTGAAAGACCATTTCTGCCTCTGAATTGCATTGGTGCTTTTAAGTGACCACATATGTATGAACCTATTTCTAGGCTCCTCTGTTTCATTGAACTATTTATCTTTGTGCCACCTGCAGTCTCTTAATTATCATAATTTTATAATAAATGTTGATTTAAAGTAAAGCTTAATTTTGTTACTGTTCAAGATTATGTTGGGTCTTTGAATTTCCTTTTTAATTTTAAGATCCAAAAATTACAGGTCGGTTTAGGAAGAATTAAATTGAGTTTCTTAATCAGTCCATTAATATGAATATCTCTTCATTTATTGAGGTCCTTCTTGCAGTGTTGTATAATAGAGGTTTTATATGTTAGATTTAGTCCTAGGTACTTGATGTTTTTCATGCTGTTATAAATGTACTACTTTTTAAATGTTTCTAATTTTAACTGATATATAAGAAATATGATCTGTTTTGTATATTAATTGCCTAGTCAACAGTCTTGCTAAATTTGTTAATATTAGGTTTTATAGATCTTTCAGATTGTCTATGTATATAACCATGTCATCTGTGAACAATGAATTTTACTTCCTTCTTTCCTATCTTCATACTGTTGATTTTCTTTTTTCTTGTCTGATGCATTGGTAAGACCTCCGGTTCAGTGTTGAACAGAAATGGTGATAATTAATATCACTGTCATGTTCACAAACTGGGGGAAACAGTATTTCACCATTGTATGTGGTGTTACCATCAGGTCTTCTGTAGATAACTTTTTATATTAAGAAAGTTAACCTTTAATCCTGGTTTATGGGGAGTTTTTGTCTTGTGAGTATTGAATTTCATCCAATTATTTATTGAGATGATTTTTCTCTTTTATTTTGTTAATGTGATAAATTACATTGATTTTCTAATGTTAAACCAGTCATTTGTTGTGGGGGGAACCCACATCATTATAATACCTATTATATATCATTGATTTTGAACTGCTTGTATTTTGTTTAAGGTTGTACATCTGTGTTCACAAGCATGAACTTATGATAGTGTCCTGAAATTTTTCTGTCTTGTAATGTTTCAGAATGTTATTTTATATCTAGATGTTTTTTTGAATTTTCCAATGAAGCTATCTATCTATCTGGCCCTGGAGTTTTCTTGGGAAGGATTTTAGTTCTGAATGCATTTTCCTTAGCAGATACAAGTGTGTTCAGATTTTCTGTCTCTTGTTACCTAAGAGGACTAGATAACATTTGATTTTTTTTGTGTGGTGATTGTCAAGCACTGATGGAGGGATGTTTCTCACAGAGGCAACCTTGCAAGTGAGCAGATGTCAAAATTGGAAAACAATTTATGTACTAGTTTGAAAAATATTTTTAGCAAGAATAGTAAAAGAAATAGAGAAGATTATAGAAGTTGTACATGAACTATAGAAGATAAAGAGCCACAATGTTTATAACCAAAATAAGGTAATTGAAATATGATACTCAGGAATAAAAGTAGAAAAAAAAGAAGTCTGTTGAATCTAACAGAGAATACAGTTTCTCTGCTGGCATTAAAATGCTTTTGTTTTTTACATTATGTATCTTCTCACTTTTAACTTATATTCTTTTTAGCTTCATGGCCTTGCTAAACTTCTGGTTTGGCCACCAGTCTTTTCCCATTTCCACTTCAAGCTCCTCTACTTGCTTTTCTGTAAAATCTTAGAGGTGTTGAATCATTAATCTTAATATATAAGAAAAATGAAGTAGGCATCCTTGTTTTGTGCTTCTCTGGGGGACCTTTTTACATAAGACTTGGGGCATAAGAAATAGTACTATTTTATCTGATCCTTCTTTGAGGCCGTCATCTCTTTCATAGGAACATTAATTTTTAGTCCCTGTTGTCTAAGAGTATGCGTTACATGTGAGATTAACTGCCCCAGCAAGGATGCATTGACACATAGTCTGGATGTGTCAGGGAAAATGTGTATTTCCTGGTTTGGGCATTTGACTGAATTTCTTGTCTAGTTGTTTTTTGTTTCATCTAAATATGAAAATGCAACAAAAGAATTTAAGAGTCAATAAGTGATAAACTCTGGATTTTTAAAAGTAGAGGTTAATGTGGGTATCTGTTGTTTGAGGGCTACATACCAGTTCACTTGAAAATCACATATTCTTACCACCCAGGAAAGACTTTGGACTTTCAAAGTTAAGAGCCATTGGTAGAAAGTGCTTTGGCTCAAATACAAAAGAGCATCTTAGAGATGAACTGGGATAGGAAACAATTGCTGTTGGGTACTGCAAACCTGTGATATCAGTAGACATACTACATCTCTAAAACACCACAGGTTCAGTCATTTCCTGGTGTCTTTCATTCAGATCACTTTATTCCTTTATGTTATCTATCTGGCCACTATAGTAATTTGAACTAATGATTCCTGCATTTTTGTACTCCAGTGTGTAGTATACTGCTTCTCTCCATAGAAGATATGCTCTAATTTAATAAAAAAGAGATTTATGTTGGATAATTAAATAATACAGCTACTTTTGAAGTGCTTTGTAACTTTATCATAGTTAAAGCCTCTAGAAAGTTAAATATTGCTTCCTCTGTGTTTTGGTAATGATTGAAATAATTCAAGTGTCTTGTGTCTTTGAAAGCTACAACTGCCATGTGTTACCTGTCTGGGTCTTTGGAAAGCATGGTCAGGAATCACTTCATAATTTTCTGTTATTAGCTTTTGCTAGAATGGAAAAGCTATATGTGGTATTTCTTACTATTGAAATGAACCAATGGATGGTTTTTTCTTTCTTTTTTTTTTTTTCTTTTTTTCTTTTTTTCTTTCTCGAGACAGAGGATCTCACTCTGTCACCCTGGCTGGAGTGCAGTGATGCGATCTCGGCTCACTGCAACCTCCACCTCCCAGGTTCAAGAGGTTCTCCCACCTCAGCCTCCCGAGTAACTGAGACTGCAGGCTACGCCACCATGCCTGGCTAATTTTTGTATTTTTTTGGTAGAGACGGGATTTCACCATGTTGGCCAGGCTAGTCTCGAACTCCTGACCTCAGGTGATCCACCTGCCTTGGCCTCCCAAAGTACTGGGATTACAGGCGTGAGCCACTACGCCTGGATGACGGTTTTTGCTTATTTTTCATTTTTGCTTTTTACCAGGTTTTTATTCTTCTATGGGTGAATTTAAAAGAATAGATGTAAATTAGGTTGAGAGATCTGAGATAGTATAAGGACATAGTCTTTTCGCACTTATTGGAAAGCCTCTGGTTTTATTATTCACAATCAAATTTGGACTGTATGTAATTCTTTAAAATAGTAATCTGGGTGTGGTGGCTCATGCCTGTAATCCCAGCACTTTGGGAGGCTGAGGTGGGAGGATCACTTCAGGACAGGAGTTTGAGACTAACCTGGACAACATAACATCCAGTTTTTTAGCTGATGAATAAATTCTCTCTACCAAATTCTGATATACAAAGGAGTGAATATAAATTACACATTAATCACTCATAAATGGAATGCTGATTGGCTTGTTTCGTTTTTGAAGTATTTTTCACTTTCTTTATTTTGAAGCTTCTTCTCAGCCTGTCGATAACCATGTTAGCCCATCTTCCTTCTTGGGCCAGACACCAGCATCACCAGCCAGATACTCACCAGTTTCTAAAGCAGTGCTTGGAGATGATGAAATTACAAGGTAAGGAAGTTAACATTCATTCTTCTTACATAAAATCAACTATTAAATTGAATTTTAATCAGCCATGTAAGATAGCCACAAGTTTTAGGACTAAAAAAATTTATTCACAGTTAGTGAGCTTACAGCTTAATTTTTTCCTTTGGAGGATTCATTGAAGAGCCTGAAATATAAAAATGTTTTATTTTTCAAATAAATTACTGCTCCTTTTTTAAAATTAATACTGCTTTTCTTTAAGGCTTGGTAAATTGTTCTTAGGAATTAGCTTAGTAAAACTAAGAAAATTCTCATGCCTATTTTAAAGTAACATTTTATATGTTCCTTATCTAATATATACCATAAAAATATTGCAGTTACTTGATTTGTGTTCAGAATTCCACAAGTGGTGGTTTGGTTTGGTTTGGTTTGGTTTGGTTTGGTTTGGTTTGGTTTTAGCAGCAGTGTCTTACTGTGTTGCCCAGGCTGGAGTGCAGTGGTATGAACGTAAGTCACTGCATCCTCGAACTCCTAGACTCAGGCTCTCCTCCCGTATCTGCCTCCCTAGGTACTAAGATTACAGGCGTGAGCCCCTTTGGCTGGCTGGTGGCTTTGTTTGTTTGTTTGTTTGCTGTATATCCTTGATACTCTGACACACAAAATTTACTTTCATCTAAAATTACTAACTGCACTGAAATTTATAGATTAACTATCTTTTTAGTCCCAAAGAATTCTAATGAGGTAGAAAAAAATGGGAGAAAAAGCATTGTAGATCTTTTTCATATTATTCAATATAGTAATAAGACACTGTACAGTTTGCTTTATAATTTGTACATGTTTTTTATATTATAGATTCAACATTAAAATATGTACAAGTAATGTCTTTTCTTAACGTTTATTGGTTACATTATTGTTAGCATTATTATTATTTTTTACTTATCAGACTCCTGATTCTAGGCAATGATCTTAAGGACAGATAAGAGTGCTTTCTCTTTTCTTTCATAAATAATTAGCAATGTTGGAAACTTAATAGGTTGTCAGTAATTGTGTTTAGGACAAAAATTAGCAGAAAGAATAGTGTTCTAATTTGATTGTAACAGGAATATCCAAGGCTGCTAGTCTTCAGGCAGTGCTTCTAGAGTGACCTTTCATTGCCATTTATTTTTGTTACTTTCTAACAGTGCCTATTTAAGGCAGCAAAGAGGGAAACTATAATAGTGGATGGCTTATCTAGTGTTTAATCTCTTTGCATATTTTACAAACTAAAAAATAAGTTATATTTGCACCTTGATTACTGTTCCTCATGCTTCTTCACTTGAACTCTTGTCTAGAATATTGCATTGGACTTTGAAGTATTATTGCATAACAAGACGACCTGTTTTCATACTTTTCTGTGAAAATCAGGTGGTTCATTACTGGATATATCTTCTTAAAATGGTGTATATTTTGCCACTCCCTTTTGATTATCACACTACTTTGTAATGGTGAAGTACAAAATCTTTCCAACATTACAAGTTCTTCACAATTTGACCTTAAGCAGTCTTTCAGACATTAACCAATATCAAAATAAAAAAAAAAAAATTCACAATACACCTAAACTTTGGTTCTAAAGTTTATTTTTTAACAGCTTTATTGAGATATGATTGACATACCATAAATTTCACCTGTTTAAAGTATACAATTCAATTTGTGGTATATTACATCAGTTTTTAAAAATTTTAGTGAAATATATATAACAAAATTTGACATTTTAACTATTTTTAAGTGTACAGTTCAGTAGTGTTAATTGCATTCACAATTTTGTGCACCCATCACTATTTCCAAAACCTTTTCATTACTTCAGACAAACTCTGTGACCATTAAGCAGTAATTAACCTTTGGTAACCTTTCATCTACTTTTTGTCTATGAATCTGCCTATTCTGGATAGTTTATATAAGTGGAACCACATAATATTTGTCCTTTTGTGACTGGACTGTTTCACTTACAGTAATGTTTTCAAGATACACTCATTTGTTAGCATGTATCAGAATTTCATTTGTTTTTATGACAATACTGTTCCATTATACATATGTGCCACATTTTGTTTATTCATCTCATGATGGGCACTTGAGTTATTTTCACCTTTTGGTTTTTGTGAGGAATGTTATAACAAATACTGACATGCAAGTATCTGTCCAAATCACTGCTTTCAGTTACTTGGGATATATACCTAAGGGTGGAATTGCTGGGTCATATGGTAATGCTATCTTAGCTTTTTGAGGAACCACCAAACTGTTTTTCGTAGTGCCTGCACCATTTCATATTCTCATCAGTAATGTATGAGTTGTAATTTCTTTACATCCTCATCAACACTTGTTATTTTGTTTTGTGGGGTTTTTTTTATAGCCATCCTAGTAGACCTGAAGTATCTCATTATTTTTATATCTATTTCCCTAGTGACTAATGAGGTTGAGCACCTTTTCATGTGCTTATATTATTTGAAAATCAGAGTGTATTTTCCCCTGGAAATACTGTTGAATTTCAGCTGAGTATTTTTTAATCAAGTATAATTTCCTAATATAAAATCCTAATTCATACACATTTTAAAGCATGATAGCAACACTAAACCCAGAATTCATCATCTAATACAGGAAATAAAACATCACCAATATGGTAAAACCTACCTGTGCCCCTGCAGATAGGTTTTAATTATTTCATATAAAAAGCCTGAAGATGGGCAATTCCAAGGTTGGTATAGCAACCTTAGGCCCATGGTGTCTTTAGTATACTCTTGGTTTCACCTTCCTGACTATAATATGTCCAGACCAGTAAAGGGATTGTATTATTCAGTCGTGCGGGGGGTTTTGTTTGTTTTGTTTTGTTTTTTGAGGAAAGGAAGGTAGCAAAGATGCTTTGTCCTTGATAAGGTTTGTCTGTCTTTAGAAAATGACAGTAAAATTTCCCTTCGTTTACCAGAGGCTAGAATGGGGTTATACTCTCACCTTAGCACAGGGGCATGGGATTGCAATGTCTCGCTTAGGTTGGTTACGGTTCATCCCTTTGAGACTGGAGAAAGGGCCTACCTTCTCTAAGACAAAAGGATAGCTGCCTTTTAAACATGTAAGTAGGGAGAGTGATTGCTTTGAAGGTAATAAAGTGTGTGCAACATAAGCTTTTCATGAGTATGTGTATTTCCTGATAGGCTCTTATACTATTTTTAAATTTCCACTTTTTTTTTCTGTTTTGGTTTCATTTCTGTTTTATATAACAAGTTTTTTTGCTTTTATATAAAATCAGATTTTTTTCCTTTGATTTTTAGGCTTAGAATCTCTTTATCCCATAGTTTTAGAAAAACCATTTATATTTTATCTAGCTTTCTTTGTAGTTTGACAACATAAAAATTATCAGTAGGTAGTTCTCACTGATAGAATGTCAGGTTTTATATAAAATTTCCAAGATACTCAATATTTTTTTAAATTTTAGGGAACCTAGAAAAGTTGTTCTTCATCGTGGCTCAACGGGCCTTGGTTTCAACATTGTAGGAGGAGAAGATGGAGAAGGAATATTTATTTCCTTTATCTTAGCCGGAGGACCTGCCGATCTAAGTGGAGAGCTCAGAAAAGGAGATCGTATTATATCGGTAAGACGTGTTAGTCAGGATCATGTTTTTATTATTTTCACTGGACCTATTTTTAAAGCAAGGTCTTTTTTTTAACATCCTAAAGTAACGGGGTTAGCTTGGTTATCTTCTTACCATTTTACAGCTTAATTGTAGAATCGTAGTGTCAGAGAATATATTATTGTATGGTAGGTTTTCTTTTGATATTTGACTCTTCTAAGGGGTCAGTTTTTATAAATGCTTGAAGAAATTATGTGTTCTCTATTCGTTGACTGGAAAGTTTGCTATGTGTCTATTAACTCAAGCTTGTTACTTGTGTACTTCTTTATACTTTAATCTGTTACCTTCTTGATCTATCTTCTTGATCTATTGAGGTTTTTAAAGCTATCCAAATACAATTTTTTTAAAGCTACCCAAATGTGGGTTCAACAGTTGATCCTCATAGCACTAGCTTTTTTTAGTATGTCTTTTGAAATTGTGTTATTAGGTACACATAGTTTTATAGTCGTTATCATGTAATGAACATCTTGATTTATAATAGTGATTTTGCCCTAGAATCTGTATTGTCTAATATGGCTGATTTTTTTTTTTTGGCTTGATATTTGTGTCATCTTTTCTCCTCTTTTTACTTTCAATTTGTGTGCTTTTGTTGTTACCTCTACAATTTTTGGCTAAAACTTACCAATAGTTCTACTGTGACACACAGACTTTGGGAAACTTTAATTCTAAATCATGCCATGTCTAGTATTTTACTTCTGTTTCATGTTTATACCCATAAATTGTAATTTTTATTTTTGTTTATTAAAAGTTAATCCACAGGTCATACAATTTTTGTTTACCATCCCATCTTGTATCTTCCTTCTTCTGTTTTTCTCAGTGGACTACTAACGGCATTTGGATTGGACAGTTATTTGTTTTGTAGGACTGTCTTGCTCATTATAGAAAATTTCCCTTTCTTTCTTTCTTTTTTTTTTTTTTTTTTTGAGATGGAATCTCGCTGTGTTGCCCAGGCTGGAGTGCAGTGGCACAATCTCGGCTCACTGCAAGCTCCACCTCCCAGGTTCAGGCCATTCTCCTGCCTCAGCTTCCTGAGTAGCTGGGACTACAGGCGCCCGCCACCACGCCTGGCTAATTTTTTTGTGTTTTTAGTAGAGACGGGGTTTCACTGTGTTAGCCAGGATGGTCTTGATCTCCTGACCTCGTGAACCTCCCACCTCGGCCTCCCAAAGTGCTGGGATTACAGGCATGAGCCACCACGCCCGGCCAAAAATTTCCCTTTTCTCAAAGTTTTCATATACATGCTAGTAGATATGCATGCTACATGCGAGTAAAACTCCCTAGTCATTGTAAAAAGCAAAAATGCCCTTCAAATATCTAAATGCACCGTAGTGTGCAAGCCCTTGGTTTGTGCTTTCAGCAATGGTTCCTTAATCGTAACTATTCTAGACTTTATCTGAAAGTATCTTTATTTTATTTCACTTTAAAAGTTAGTTCAATCTAGAATTACAGGTTGATAACTGTTATCTCTCAGTGTTTTGAAGATACTGTTTTATGTTGTCTGGCGTTTTGTTTTATTTAACAAAAAAAGTCTACTCTCTTATTTGTAGGTGATTTGTGAGGGGGTGGTTTCTGGTTGCTTTTAAGATGCTTTGTCTTTGATGTGCTGCAGTTTCACTAAAATGTGAAACTGTCTGTGTGTAGCATATTATTTGCTCTGTTTGGAATTCATTATGCCTACTGAATCAGAGGAGTCATGTCTTTCATCAATTGTAAAAACTTCTTTCATCAATTCTGGAGACTTAGCCATTGTCTTTTCAAATTTCGCCTTTCCCATGTTGTATGTACTCTGTCCCTAAACTCCTATGAGTGGATGTTAATCTGTTTTTCATGTCTTTTAACCCCAATTTCATAGTTACAACTCTGTCTCCTTGTAGTTCAAGTTTATAAATTTTCTTTTCTTTTTTCTTTCTTTCATTTTTTAAGAGACAGGGCTTCAGCACATTGCCTGGGCTGGAGTACAGTGGCCATTCACAGGCACAATCATAGAGCACCATTATTGCCTCAAACTTGTGGGCTCAAACGATATTCCTGCCTGAGCCTCCCAAGAAGCTGAAACTGCAGCAGCTTAAATTTTCTTATCTATATCGAATCTGAAGCTATATCTTATCTATATCTTACCTGTATCTTATCTTAACTGTATCTTACGTATATATAATCTGAAAGTATGCCTTATCTATATCTTGCCTATATCTTAACTGTATCTAATCTGAAACTATGGCAGCTTAAATTTTCGTGTCTATATCTAATCTTAAAAGCTACAATTTTAAGATGCAGAAATTGTCAGCTTGGTTCAAAAAAGCAAGACCAAACTATATACTTTTTATCAGAAATTTGCTTTAAATATAAAGGCTCATGTGTTGTAAGTAAAAGAGTGAAAGAAGGTATACTATGCAAATAGTATACTAAAGCTACTGTCTTAATATGACACAAAATAGAATTTAAGACAAATAATGTTATTGTACATAGATTTCATAATTATAAAAGCAGCGAGAATCATGAAAGTGTCATTTCATCAAGAAGACATACCTAGTGATACTTTCAAAATACGTGCAGTATAAATGATCAGAACTGAGGAAGGAAATGGACAAATCTGCAGTCACATTTGGAGATTTAAATGCCCTCTTCTTTAATTGATGGAACAAGCAGACACAAGGAAAAGAAGAAGAATCTCATATCTTACTTCATGTCGTATAGAAAAATTAACTTGAAATGGACCATAGAATTAAACTTCTAAAAGAAAACATAAAAGAAAATCTTAGTGAATGTGGATTAGATAAATTTCCTAAATAGTACCAGAGGGCTACCAAGTCAGTTCAATAGAGAAGGGAAGATCTTTTTAACAAATGGTGCTATAATACTTAGGTATCTGTATATAAGATTATAAACCTAAACCAGTCTTATTCCAGACATAAAATTTAATTCTAGATGGATTATAGATCTAAATGTAAAACTCAGAACCATAATCTTCCTAGAAGAAAATATCAGAGACTATGTTTGCAGGCCTAGAGGAGGTAACAGTTCCTTGAACAAAATGCATAAAACACAAACCATAAAGAAGATGACATTAAGAAACCAAGAATGTTGGGTGAGGTGACTCTTGCTTATAATTCCAGTGACTCAGGAGGCTGAGGCAGGAGGATCGCCTGAGGCCAGGAGTTTGAGACCAGCCTGATCAACATAGCAAGACCCATCTTTTAAAAAACAAATTTTTTTTAGCCAGATATAATGGTGGGCACTTGTAGTCCCAGCTACGTGGGAGGCTAAGGCAGGAGGATCACTTGAGCTTAGGTGTTTGAAGCTACAGTGAGCTTTGATCCCACCACTGCACTCCAGCCTGGGCAACAATGCAAGACCCTGTCTCAAACAAAAAAGATAAAAAACCAAATAGGCAAACCACACAGTGGTAAAAAAATATTCTCAGCGCATACATGACATACTACTTATATCCAGAATATATAAATATCTCCTACAAATCAACAATAAAAAGATGAGTAACCCAATTTAAAATGCACAAAAGACTTGAACAGATACATCACAAAAGATATGTGAATGGCCAGTAAGCACATGAAAAGGTGCTTAACATTAGGCATCAGAGAAGTGCACAGACCACGATGAATGAAGAGGTTTGTAGGGATTCGAATAAGAGTGATGTAATTGTTCTATATTTCGATTGTGGGTGGCTGCACGAAATTCACATTTGCCAAAACTTAACTAAACACTAAAAAAGATTGAATTTACCTAGATAAAAATAGATATTCTTGAAGTCATAATGAAATACGATATCCCACTTAGTTGAACCACAAAAGAAAAAAATAGCATCATTCACTGATGAGGATATGGAGCAACTGCAACCCTCATTGACTACTAGTGGACATGTAAAGTTGTATATACCACTACAAGAACTTTTAGGAAGGTTTTTAAGGAGTTAAACATACATCTAATCTTATCACCCAGGTTTTACCCAGGACACATGAAAGCGTATGTCGACAAAAACACTTTGACAAGAACATTCTTAACAGCCTTATTCATAATCATCTAGATCTCGAAATGACGCACGTTTCCATCAACAGGAAAATTGCTCCATTGTATGTTTACACAATATAATACTACTCAGCAATTAAGAGGAACAACTGCTGAAACGCAAAACACGTAACAAAAATACATACCATATAATTCCAGTTACATGATCATCATGAGCAGGTAACGCTGACTTGTGCTGTGAGTCAGAAAGCGGTTGCCAGTGATTGGGACTGACTATAGAAGTGCACAGCTGAACATTGATGGAAAAGATACATGTCTTGTTGGGGTTAGTGGTTTCATGATTTATACGGTAAGCAAAATCCTTTCAGCTGAGCTGTTCAAATGTCTACATTTCATTATAAAATATACTGTAATTTGTTAAAGTAAGTTACAGTATGATAAGGAAAAGTTAGTGGTAAGGAATGGACTTAAAAGATAAATATTGTTGAGCATATTACCTAGTTATTTAGGGAAATAAAATTAGCTTAGAGCCTCACTTCACACTTTATGTCAAAATAAATTTTCATTTAGCCCAGAGTTCAGTAATAGACGTTTTTACATTGTCCATTTGGAACCTCTCTATATAGGTCATTGACACAGTGCTAAAGTGTGTGAGACCAACCAGCTCAACCTAGTTCGCCCAGGACAGTCATGGTTTTAGAACTGAATGCCCCGTGTCTGGAAACCTTTGGTCTCAATTCTAAAACTGGAAGCCTCAGCTAGTCCAGGGAAGTAGCTCACCCTAATGTGAGTGCAGTTAAATACAGCATTATGTTTAGCAATATGCATCAGTAACCTTAAAATTTCAATGCTTACTAAACTTCTCTAGGGAAATGCCCTGAAAGCGCTAGGGAATAGTAGACCAATCAGAAAATGTAAAAGGAAAATTGGAGGAATGAATTCTCCATAAGGCCTTTGAAAACCTCCAGTGTATTCCTTGG